ATATAAATTTTAATTATTCCAAAATTTATTTTGTTTTGTAAATATAAGTTAATTTCTAATAAAGTTTCATGATTTTTGTCTATTGCTAATTCGTTTAAAAAAAAAACCATACCAATACTCAATATAAGTCTTAGAGTAAAAAATTATTTGAAACCATGAATTCCATCTTGTTGCATTTGGAAGTGCAATTTTGAATAGATTAATAACACCATGCATTTTTAAATGAGTTATATATCGGCCTCTTCGTGCAGGTGATTTAACAAATACATCTTTTACTTTTGCCAAGAAAATTGTTAGAATAGAAAAATCTTTAAAAGTTCTCTACGTATCACTAAAAATAGATTAAATTTATATAAAGTACGTAGTATAATTATAATATTTATTTTAAATATATATAAAATAATAATTACCCGACTAAGTTAAGAATATGAGCACAGCAAGGCGAATGAATAAGTTGTGGTATTAATGGTGCCAACACTTCTCAGTAACATTTTTTCATATATATCGTCGAATCAGATAAAAAAAGACATGTAATATTATACGGAATATTATAATCTAATAAAATAGAAATTAAAGTTTGACCCATTGTTGCATTATTAACATGTTCAAAAAATCAACTAAAACCAGTTTAGTAGAATCACAATATACAAAAAGTGTATTAACTACACTGCGAGCACAACTATCAGTTGTCTTGTCCATAATAATTGCAACAGGTTTGTTGTTAAACAATAATTTAAGATTACTTTTATGTTTTTCAAAGATGCGTGGTAAATAAATTTGTCTTAGAGTTGAAGATTAAGGAATTGTTCCACCATATTTTAGATGTTTTCTAAAAAATGGAATTAAACAATCTACTTTTCCAGTAGAATATCGGCAATAGCGAATATTTCAATTAAATCTTCAATGACTTTATTTTTAATATCTGCTGCACTTAAACTATCTCGAATGGATATTTGTTTTTTAGTACGTTCTTGAGCTTCAAAATTACTTTTATTTGACTTATGTTTTTTGCTATTACAATGATTGTCAACCGTTGATTTTGATTTCCATTCGACAGGTTTATTGCAATATTCACATATCAAAACATTATTTTCAATATGAAATGTATTTAGATGTTCTTGAAGTCAAGTTGAGATTGTTATACTTTTTCTTTTAGACATTATTGTTATTAATTGTTTGTTATGTATTAAACTCACTTTTATATTTTTACAAAAAAAAAAAATACTATATAAATTTTATTAGAATCATTCAAATCATAAAGGCTTAGACTTTATTACGTATATAAGAATGGCAAAAAATATCGTAATTAGGAATTTATAAGCATTCGATTTTAATGAAATCTTCTTTTTCATATGAATTTTTAAAGCGACTTAGAATTTTCACATTTTTTTTACACAGCCCTCAATATATTACACCTGTTTCGGTAATATTACTTACTTGGAGTTTAATACAACTATGAATTAAATTACTTTACTTTTCGGGTAGTATTTAAAAATTAATATACTTCGAAATTATTTTATTTACCTTCTTATTTTAGAAATATAATAGTAGCACTACATATAAATTCTTAAATTATATGGGGTTCTGTGATGATAAAGCCATAATTATGTGATTTAACCGTAATTATGTAA